AGAGAAGAAAGAAAGATAGTTATGCTTTGCCCAGAATACATTGGATACTCTCTTCGATTTTCGTTGGTCCTCCATACTCGATCTAAAAAGCGGATATTGGCAAGTAGACATGTAGCATTCTCGATAGCATCAGGGCTTTGGCAGTTCACGGTTATGCCCTTTGGTTTATGTATTGCCCCTGCCACATTTGAAAGATTAATGGAGGCAGTTTTAAGAGGTCTAACATGGAAAACGTGCCTGGTTTATTTGGATGATGTAATTATGGTTGAAAGATCCTTCGATGAACATGTTAACAATCTGACAAAAGTCTTTCAACGATTTCGGGCAGCGAATTTGAAGATAAGTCCGAAGACGTGTCATATATTTCTGCTTGTCAGCTTATGCTGAAAAACTTACAGCAATTAAGGATTAGTCCTAACAAGAGGTAAACACGAAATTAGAAGTTTCCTTGGTCTGTGTACATATTACCGACGTCTTGTCATAGGATTTACCAACATCTCCAAGCCATTAATAAAGTTGATAGAAGAAGGATATACAAATAATATACATTCTTAGTAGGAGTAAAGAGTGACAAAAAGCTTTCGAACAGCTACAAATGGCTCTGATGAGTGCACCGATTTTAAGCTATCAGTGATAGGCAGGAAAATTTGTGTTGGACACCGATTCCAGCAACAGTGCAACATGAGCTGTTTTGTCCCAAATCCAAGATGGGCATGAGACTGTCATCGATTACTTTAGCAAAGTCTTGTTGAAATATATTTTAAGACCATGTGAAAAGATGTACTATTCACGACAACTAGATAAAAAAGTTTTTAGAAAGTACTCTAGTATACCATGTCACCTAGGGCTCGATAACACGGAAAGAGTCCCACCAGATCTCAATACTTTTGATAGTATCCGGAGGTATCCGGAAAAAGTAAATTTTTTCCTTAGGTGAATTGAAAGCAATAGCTTAAATCTGGATAAAACTGTTAAAAGGTCAATAGTAAACTATGCCAGCGAAAATAGGCAAAAAACATCAATGAAGATAATTTTGAGGTGAGGAAAGAATTGAGTTGATATATGAAGGAAAAATAAATACATCTGGGTGAAAAATAACAAATAAAGATCGGGAGCAGTTGAACGGGGATCCAAAAATTTTAGGAGCATAAACACTTTTATGGTTGATACACGTGCAGATGATACAAAAATGCAGATTGAAGGGAAAGATAATCTAAAAGTTTTTGCAATGCTTGAGAACTATTGTAGTTACGGATTTGATAGAAAAGGATACAACAGAATAGAACAAAACTGAATAAAATAAATTGAATTAGATTGAATAAAAATATGCTGTTAATTATTAATAAAATTTTGTTAATATAAAAATTTATAATTAATATAAAATACATATTTAGTATAGTAAAATATGATTTTATAGAATGGTAAAGATTCTTTCAAATTCACTTTCTTTGTTAGACCAATAATTATTAAAAATCCTCATAGTGATTAACTGAAAAAAATTAACTGAAATACAAAAAGAAACGATGTGATTTTTACTTAATATGTATGCTTCAAAGGACAAATTTGATTTTATTGTCCTTGTTCTATTAAAAAATGGATATTTACATCTTAATTCTTTATTTATTACCAATAAAACAGCAGATAACATAGATTTACAATCATATTCAATTAAAAAATTTAAAAACTATTGAGCAGTAGGTAAACCTACAATAAATATTATTTTAAATTACTGTTTGTGTCACGTATGCACCTTGACGATTTTAATTTTCATAATAACATATAATACGTAAGATTATTCACGTATAACCGATTTCTTTTTATGTAAATCTAATCGACTATTAGTTTATATCCCCATCAGAAAAATTGTATGTTGCCGTGGAAGCTCATTTTTAGTTGCACATTCCGTATATGCATATCTGTCAGTATCTGTTTTGAGTTCTTTTTGCATAAGCTGGAGTGTTTCTGTATCATTCATATTGAAATGCAATTTAATTGAGTTTTTAACTACGAATAATGCAAAAATTTCATTTGGTTATTTTCTAAGCACTCTGAACTATAATTTCCGATGTAAAATCCATCTCAAATTAATATTTGTTCTGTTTTTTTTTAAATTTTTGGCATATGAGGGTTGTCAGTTAATGGGTCTGACTTCAGTTCATCAGAGCTTCTTACACATAGGAAAATTTTTGTAAATCGCATAGTTGAAGCTACTTACGATAAAGTTTATGATACCAACTACTTACTACAAAGTTTAACTAATTACAAACAATGGTATCCACATTTCCAAGATAAAGGACTATATTGGCGAATACAGTTGTGATAACTAAAGAAGTAAATGGCTTATGTATTAAAAACATTAATAAAACACTTTTAACTAACTCTAATTAAGGGTTAGAAACCTTTACGATGACTATAGACAACCATCAACCTAAGTCTTCATTGGAGATTTCATTAGCCACCACCACTTATGCTATGAGATCCATAACAAAAGCTAGGTTAAAAGTAATAACTTTTAGAATGGGCCTTCTTAGTAGAAGGCAACAATATCCATCTTATTCATAACCTGTAATTTAACTTCTATTTCACAAATGTCGCCAAGACTATAAACCAAATCTTTGTAGGGTTTGGAGAAATTCACAGCTTTGGGCACTCCAAAGAAATACGCAGCATATATAAAAAAATGTAAAATGTAAAAATGTATAAAAAACTTTATATCTCTACAATATTGTTCTATATTTAATAAAACCGATTACCTTTTAATTAATTCCGATTCTAAAATTCTATTATTAAACGCGTTAGCCAAACTCAGTCCTTGGTTCTGCTCACAAAACGGAATCTAGATCACATGTCCCAATTGTTTTATCTCCTTTTGGATACCAAATTCGTCGGTTGAATGGTTAGGCTAAGTAAATTCCTGCATCGACATATTGCTTGAGTTTACCAAAAGTACAAGCTGATTATAGTAATAGTCAGTATATATCATAATAGTATAAATGTCAAACATGGAACAAAAATTTTTTGTTTAGCAGTGTTGGCATGTTTTTATAATGTAGATACTGTATGCTTCAAATATAAAAAAATATATTATGAATTCTGCAATTTTTGGTTTATATAAAACAAGTTTCTTCAACATATTTCAACATGTTTCTTTGGAGATTAATTGCAGTTAATAATTAGAATTTTTTTTGGCAATTGCCCTTTGATTGAAAGAGACAAATATTTACTCGTTATTGTTTCATAGAAATTAAAAATTGCAGAATTCATAACAAAGTACATATCAAAATGTACTTAATAAAAGCTTTCTCTCTTTATTTTTGAAGCATACAACATCCTAGCCACAGAATAATAAACAATCAGAATGCCAACTCTCCATGGAAAATTAAGTACGCGCATCTCGTTCGCGCAGACGTTCCGCCATGTTTTAGAGGGAACCAGTGTTGTTTATGTGGTGTGCATAGAAAAATTAACCCGGTTTAATTGACTTACGGCAATCATAGACATACTATATAATTATATTAACATTGTTAAATATAATAACATAAATAATAATATAATTAAACATAAATATAAACAATTACATAACCTCACAAATCATATGTCTGTGTTATGTGTTTCCTTCTAAAACATAGCGCGCGTGCTGAAAAACTTCAAAGGCGGCATCTGATAGTGGGCATTCTGATTGTTTATTATTCTGTGTCCTAACCATCGAGCAAAAAGATAAAAGAGGGAATCTAATCGTTATGAAAAGGAGACCAAAAAAGTGGCCTCTGACGGCGGACATATCCGGAAATGCAAAGGCGCTAAATTTAAATTTTCCAGCACTTATTAACAATAGCTATAAAATATTTTTCAGACGAGAAAGTTTTAATTAAATATTAACTATAATATGGTCCTAACCATCGAGCAAAAAGACAAAAGAGGGAATGTAAAGGTAGTGGGGGCAAAAATATTGTTAGACAAGAAGTGTGATCTTTAGAAGCCACATTAAATAAGGAAAGAGAATCTCACTCCTTGTTTGACATCAAATTTAGTTGGGTTACGTTATTCTTTGTCCCAAATGCCACATGAAATCTTATTTATATTGAAGTTTTTTAACAATTGTGTCGCATTTTAGACTATTACCGTTAATAATCAATTAAAACTTGCTCGTCTAAGACACATTCTGAAAAATATTGTATAGTTACTGTTAATAGGTGTCGGAAAATTTAAACTTGGCGCAATCGCATTTCCGGATATGTCCGCCATCAGAGGCCACTTTTTTGGTCTCCTTTTCATAAGGATTAGATTCCCTCTTTTGTCTTTTTGCTCGATGGTCCTACACTGCCAAACCCAAATATTTTAGTTCATGTTTGAAATTTGCGGCTACATTCAGCTTGTACTTTCAGTAAACTCAACGGAAATATTATTTAAACTTTATTTCGATTCATTTATGTTTTCTTTCACTAAACCATTAGGTATGTCTTGCATTTATGTACTACCAATTCCCTTCTAGACCTCTTTTTCTATCTAATGTTTCGTGAGACATCTACAACGATGTATCAGTTTCACGAATTTATTCCACCGAATTCACTTTTAGATCTCATGTTCAACGAACAATCAATTGCTGTAATTATAGTGTAAACACCAATCGTTCCATTTTCGCCTAACGCAATACTTCCTCCTAATCTAATTAAATGCCAATAATTGCTCATCACGACATCACAGTTCAAATGAGCCACGGAAAACAAATACAGAGCGCCTTGGAAACAATGAGAGAGGATGGTCCAACTGAATAATTACGACGCCTGAAAGTAATCGCGGAAACTAGGTCATTGGTGTACACATTTATTTATCGATATAGTGGAGTAGTAGGGGCTTGGTTTAAATATTTACTATACTTTAATCGATTTTTATTGTTTAAATAATGAATAAAAAGTACGATCCTATTTACTACTATTTCTTTCGTATGATTTTTTTGTCAAATATTAAAAGTTATTGATCTATTAATTACATGGTGGAGAATGGTAGGATTGTTACAGAATATTATGAAGACGAAAAGTAAGTACAGCTTCTTATAGAATCAACAAAGATTAACGAAACTAAGAATATCGTCGAAAGATAAATTAAGAAAAGTAAAAATAAAATTAGTTCATGGAAATGTTACATTTTTTATAGCTTAGCGTGCGTTTAATAGAGGACGTATTCTTTCTTTTTTATGTGTTATAGTATAATGATGACCAATATGGTTCCCAGCGAAGAGATACAGATCAATAACAACAAGGTAGAATTAATCGATAAATACACATACTTGGGTCATTAGAATAACCAGAGACAACCAAACCTGCGAGCTAAATAGACGAATCACGTTGGGATGGGCGGCCATATGGAAGGATGAGAGACATTTTTAAAACAAATATCCCAGTTCACCTGAAAAGAAAGGCATTTAACCAATGCATCTTACCAGTCTTGACCTACGGAGCAGAGACCCTAACTTTAACGAAAGCTACTGCCGAAAAACTGAGGGTAACACAAAGGCGAATGGAGAGATCAATGCTGGGCCTGACCTTGAAAAATTGCGTGAGAAATGAGGAGATACACATAAAGAATCAATAAACAAAAGTGGAGGTGGGCTGGACATGTTGCTAGAATGGAAGACGGAAGATGGACGAAGAGATTATTGGAGTGGAGACCCAGAGCCGACAAGCGAAGTCGAGGCAGACCACCCACCCGATGGACCGACGACCTAAGGAGAATAGAAACAAACTGGATTGCAGCAGCTAGGGATAGAGAGAACTGGAGACATTTGGAGGAGGCCTATATCCAACAATGGATGTGAAAATGGGGCTGGATGATAATGAGTATAAGCTTAAGTTCAAGTTTGTGTGGTCTCCACCCTTGTACCCCAGCCTCCATCTTGGAAAAGGGATGAAAAGGGGTTTCGCGCTGTATCTTGTAAACTAGCAACCCTACAAAAAATGTTATTAGACATTATTTGTAGCAAATTAAATTGTTTACTGTAATACTTTTAATCATAAAATGTAAAATAAAAAAGTTATTAACAAAAATAACTAAAAATTTTGGAACAAATTTTATTTTGGTTTTAAATTTTTTTTTTCTTCTGGTAATTTTACAATAGCCTGCTAACCTGTGGATCGATCATAACCTTGTTTTATGGAAGATGCTACTAGAACGTCAGCAACGAAACATAAAACCCCCAGTGCTCATCGAAAAACACAATATAGAGTCGCTAGCAACAGAGAGTACAAAACTCCTTTATGGGAACAGGATTACCAGCAAACTACGAGTTACAACCAGAATGGAGAGTAGAAGATGCTTGGCAAAAAATCAGGAAATGCATCAACCAAGCAGCAGAAGAAGCAATTGGAAAGCAGAAAATTATCACGAGGGCGATAAACCATACCAAACCGTGGTTTAGTCATGAGGTAAAAGAACTCTCTGAATTAAAACGCAAATGCTACCTGAGATATAAAAGCACACAATCGGAAAAAGCTCTCGCAGAACATGTCTAAGTAAGAAATTAGTAAACGCAAGAATAAAATCAATCAAAAGAGAACAATGGGCTAAATTTACCAGCGACATGGACTACGACCTACATGGTGCCCAAAAGAAAGTATGGAAAATGCTTCGAAACAGGAAAAACCAGTTAAAGAGTTCGTGCAGACCAAGGGAATACATGGCAACATCATTTTAAAGAGCTATAGGATGCTGAAGAAACGCTGAATATAAACGAATACGAAGCAGATATAAGTGCTACAATCTATGACGAAGAGGTAGAGGTAAATATCAAGAAGATAAAAAACAGAAAATTACCTGGAACAGATGAATGGCCCAATAAACTCTTAAAATATGGAGGCCCTGAACTTGCAAGTAAACTGTCACAACTATTTAACAAAATCTTAAACGACATAAAAATACCAGAGGAATGGCATAAGTGCATCACAATCTCCATGTAACCAAAGTTAGAGCAGGAGACCAATTTACTGAAAATATTACAACATTGGGAGGAATTAGACAAGGCGACAGTTTCAGCCCTTTCTTGTTTAACCTACTCATGGGCAAAATTATAAACAAAGTAACATCTCTCAATCTTGGATACAGAATGGGCAACAAAAGAATTGGTATGGTGTGTTACGCAGATGATGCAGCAATTATTGCCGAAATATGACCATTTCTACCAATAAAACTAAATGTATGACAATAGCAAAAGATCAGCTCAGATGTAAGTTAGTGGTTGAGAACAATCCCATAGAACAGGTGATGCAATTCAGATATCTGGGTATAGATATATCAAGCACACACATCCCAGTAAAGCTTAAGGAATCAGAACAATAAAGCATCCGTATTGTCAAGATGTCTGTTGGAGATAGTCTGGTCAAATCCGTATATGCACACAGATAGTAAAATTAGAATCTACAAGACCTGCATACAACCTATCATAACATATGTCCCGAAGACACCAACAAAACGAAACATATGCTAAGGGTTGCCGAAATGAAAACCCTAAGAACATTTCCTTGTTTTCTTACTGCTTTTTAATATTATTAGTTCTGCTGTCTCTGTAATTGTTTTTTTTTTCATTTGCTTCCATAGCCCTTCGACATCATTGCTCAGGTCTACAATATTTAGTTTCATTTCATGTAGATAATTTTCTCAGTTTTCTTCATTTTGCAGGTTTTCGATGTTCCATTGTCCCAATGCTTCTTTAGTTTCAAGTTTCTCTGACGATATTCTTAACCTGATTTTTGCTCTCACTGGGTAATGATCTGTTTCTCCATCTTTACGTCTAAAGCTTCTTACATTCAGAACAATACTTCCATGTCTATCATAGACAACTATATGGTCAATTTGGGTCCACGTGGAGTTGTTTTTAGAGACCATCTTCTTTTTAGCATATTGCCAGCCGATGGTAGCTCTACTAGTCATTTAAGATATCGTCGAGGCTTTGTTCCTCTATTGTAGGTCTTATTAGGTTCTTTGCCAATTTTTGCGTTCAAGTCTTCACAGATTATTTACACGTCTTGTTTGTTTTTCTCCTCTAGCGTTTTTTGAGTTGTTCGTAGAAGTCGTCTTCAATTGGTTTCCCTTAATTTTCTCTGGGAGAATCTTCTTCTTGTAGTTACTTCTCCTATCGGAGGGTGGCTATCATTACAGCTATTCGTACCTTATTGGCGGCTGCTCTGTAAAGATCTACTGAGCTGCAACTGTACCATCGAGAAATAAGACAAAAGAGGGAATCTAATCGTTATGAAAAGGAGACCAAAAAAGTGGCCTCTGATGGCGGACATATCCGGAAATGCAAATGCGCCAAATTTAAATTTCATGACACTTGACAATAATCATACAGTGGTGTAGGGGTTCTAATTTATCTATTTATTTATTTTATATTACATAATATTTTATATTATATATTTATCTATTTTTTTATTAAAATTATTTATTAAAATACTTTTTTTAACACTATAATAGTCTAAAATGTTAAAAAAATTCAATAGAAAATATAAATATAAGCTTTCATGTGACAGTTTTGACAAACAATAACATCAACAATAACATAACCCAACTAAATTTGATTTCTTAAACAAGGAAAGAGATTCTCTATCCTCGTTTAAAGTGGCCTCTCAAAATAGCACTTCCTGTCTATCAATATGTTTACCCCCACTACCTTTACATTCCCTCTTTTGTCTTATTGCTCGATGTACTGTACTCTTAGGTTTCTTAGCCAGGAAATTTTTTGTCTTCCTATGGATCTTTTACCCTTGATTTTATCGTGCATTATGGGATTTAATATTTAATATTTCGCATCTCTGGTAATGTGGCCTAAATATTCCAGCTTTCTTGTTTTGATGTGCTTTATGATATCACAATCCTTTTGCAGCCTTCTTAACACTTCTGCATTTGTAACTCGTTGGATCTATGGTATTTTCAAAATCCTTCTATAGCGGCACATCTCAAATATCTCCAACTTTTTTATATTATCCACTTTTACTGTCCAGCTTTTCATTCCATACAACAATGTTAAGAACACGTAAGACACTTATCCTCAGCTCCAGAGAAAGGTCTCGATTAACAAACATTGTTTTCATTTTTATAAACGCTTGTCTTGCAATTTCAATGAGTGTCCTTATTTCTCTACCTTGGTCATTGTTTTCATTTACCCAGGTTCCCAGATATTTGTAATTATTCACAATTTCTACTAGTTTTCCCTAGATATCTAGCCTTCCTACTGTATGTTGCTTATAAATAATCATGCACTTGGTTTTCTTCACGTTCATTTGTAGTCCATATTTTATACTGACTTGATTTAATTTACTGAGAATGGAGGAAAGCGATTAAAAACATGTCATTATTGCTTGTTTGTTAGCTGAAGAGAAAGGAGAAGAAACAAAATCTAGAAAAAGGAAGCATAATTTTTGGATACACAACATATTTAAGAAGAGATCGGAACTGTAATTAATCGTGATAAAATCGTGAAAAACAGGTGTTGACAAGACGATCGTCAAATGCAAATAGCCGTAGATTAGCTCCCACTGGACCTTGCGACCATTCAAAATTGCGAACATTCAAAATTGCGAACATAGCGCGCGAAATGAGTCCACTGATCGGAATTCCGTATGGCGTCATCGGTACGCATCGCAAAAGTTACCTCTGGAAGCAACAAGCAACACATTGACATTGCGGATTAGTGGACGCAGTTACGTAAGTTTTTATACAAGACAAACAAACATCCGATGCGTATGATGCGGACCTGACCCTTACCTTAAAATTGATGTTGTTTGATTCCAATACAAGTTTGTAATTATGCGAACGTCTCTGCCATCCAAGCCAATGTCTCTTAGAACGTCGATCAATATAGAGTGCTTAACACGATCAAACGCCTTTTAGAAGTCAATAAAAAAACAGTACATGTCTGCAGATATCGTCCTAATAGTCGTTGGTTCTAAAGTAGTAATAGTTTACATTTAGTGAGGTTATTTAAAATAATAATAATCACAATCAAAAACGTATACCAAATATAGAAACCTGTTTATATATTAAAT